AAAACACCAAGAATTTACCAAATTAAGAGCTTTGACTGAGTTGTTGCCATTGAGAAATTTGAAGATATTCATTTTAATTTTCGAGAATATAATTTTTTATTCTTTCAGTTTATTCTGTTAAAATTTATACTTTTCATAGTTTTAAAAATGAGATACAGACATGTAAGAGAACAAGACACAAAAGTAATAAGAAATAAAAAGACCTGAAGGCACATGATGATGATTATTTATTTCGAGCGTTACGATTCGGTGATTCCACAAGATGTTTTTTTTCTCTTGTATTCTCGCTACCATCGTCGTTGTCGACGCTTCTTGTTGTCGTTTATGTAAAGTCACAGGCAAAATAGAAGAGAATTAAGTTCTTCTTACTTTTCGTATCCATCCAGTTCATCCAAAAGTCGACAGACAAAAATAAAGTATATAAAAATAATTTTAAAAAATGAGGAATAATGAACGACGAAAAAAAGAACGAACCCCATAATAATAACAATCAGAGATCGAAGCCGATTTTTTCGGCTTAACTCAATTTTTGATTTTTTTGATAGAAAAAAGCTATTTAACTCACATTTCAAGTATTTAAATTGAACTTTACATGCTTTACTATGATTCTGTGTAATATTTTGTCAGCATGTAGCTATAGTGAGCTCAGAATTTCAATTTAGCCGATTTTAAGCCGAAATTTAAGCCGATCGGCTTAGCATCGACTAAATTGAAATTCTGAGCTTACTATAGCTACATGCTGACAAAATATTACACAGAATCATAGTAAAGCATGTAAAGTTCAATTTAAATACTTGAAATGGGTGTGAAATGGCTTTTTTCTATCAAAAAAATCAAAAATTGAGTTAAGCCGAAAAAATCGGCTTCGATCTCTGATAACAATACAATGTCTTATTCCTTGATTATGAAAATTATATTGGACAGAGTCTGAATTTTTTTTCTCGCATTAATTACTTCATCTTCTTCTCGTCTCCCCCAATTTTTCATTTATTTTTTTATTCCCAAGGCAGGTTTAATTCTTTTTTTTTTTTGCTTGCCATATGCCTTATTTGCTTTCCTGTTGCTACATACACCGAAAGATATGCAGACTGAGGAAAAAGAATACAAGAAGTTTGAATTTTTTTTCAATGTCAGAGGATGCTTTGGGTCATTCCACCTCTGAACATCTTCTGTTTTTTGAGTAGCTTAACTTCTGACATACAAGAGTAGTCGAATTTCTTAATTAGATGGAGTTATTGAAAGTTATCTGCTGCCAATACATATATTTTTTGAACATCGTGTGAAAGAAGCTCATAAATGAAATTAATAGTCGTACTAATTTGAGCGTGAAGGAAATGAAAGAAGAAAATTGTTGAAAAAAATTGTTAATTGACGCACGCAATTTTTCCAGCATGTATACAACCAACAAGAGCGTAAACTTCACTTTTGGTTTCTAATTTTTCCAACCTTGTTGTTACTTTTCGGGTGGCGTATTTTTTCACTTTTACTGATTATTTGAGCAACAGTCTTGAAACTATAAAAAAATGATGTGCAGGTTTTTTGTTATTCATACAAGTGTGTGCGTTCAAGTAAGATGTCACAGTGGCAATTAATGTATTTCAAGTCGGCTATACATATTTTATTATTGTACTATATGTCGTACACATACAGTCACAAAAAATATTAACATATTTTTTTCAGTCGTTAATAATCACGACATTCAATAAAGTAGTTAGTAAGGTCTCATACACGTTATAATAACAACACCTAAGAAAATTACAAAAAATTTAAACAATCAAAAATGAAAATTTCATTTTGTTTCTAAACGATACATCATGCACAGAATTTTTCGTTGCTGCTTGGGAGGAAATAATTGAGATGATGATAATCATCATCGACAGAGAGTTAAATTTTTTCAATTTATTTCTCGCTGTGTTGAACATGAATAATAATACAATAGAGATGTACACACGAATTTGACATCCATCGAGGCAGCAAATATAAAATTGTTGAAACAACTTCATCATCATCTGTAGCGACATTGACAAATCACAAAAAAAAAATGATTTCATGTACTATAATATATCTCAATACGCTAATTTCAATTGTGTCGCAATTTTTTTTGTGATTACAGCTTTATGAAACAATTTTTTTGTCTCTACTCTGGCATGAGGAATTTCCATCGCAGATACAAACTAGTAATGTTAAATTTTTTCATAGAGTGCGCGATGATTTGCGATAATTAGATCTTACTAGATGCTTTCGATGTGGTTTATGTATATATGAAATACTTCATAATACATAATCCTAAAAACTTCAACACATCAAATTAAGACCAAAAATAATTGATAACACATTGAAAATGTGAATAACCTGAAAATTGTTTTACTCTTAAACTTAAAGAAAACTAACATTTATTTTAATTGAAACATACAAAAATGATTCTTTCAATTTTTTTTTTGAGAAATTCAAAGGGTGCGTTTGATACTTGAATTTTATAAAATCAAAAAAACTAATTTATAGGACTTTTTGAAATAATTAATTAAAAATTGAAGCTAAAATTAGAATAAAAAATAAATTTCAGTATATTTCTAGTATAAATTATGCGCCATAAGAAGAATATAAATTAACAATTACAAACACAACCTACTGTCATCATAATTACTTTATCAAAAAGATTTACTTTTTGGGCAAAAGCTAGCGGTGTCAGAAGATTGAATTCTAATCGAAGGTCGTTTACATACGGCTTGCAATAATAACTTTCGGAGTTGTTTTGGCTCATAGTTCACTCAAGCGCAAGCCATACTAGTAAAAAATTGCGCAAATATAATTAAAAATTTGTTTCTTTCCTTTCTTTCTTTTGCGTCGCGTGTGAAATCACGACACGCGTTTCTTTATCAGTCGTTGAACAATCAGAGTGATCTTTATTTCATTTTTTTCTATAGAAGTATTCAATTTCTAAGAGATACATGCATGAGACATCAAAAGGAGGTGCGGCACTTTTATGACACATTTGATCTATTCGAATAGACAAATTTACTTTGTTTATCTCCACAATTTTTATGATCTGAAGCAGAGTGGGAGTCGTTTGCTTATGATGTCGAATTTCGACCATGTCCCAGCCTCCGAAAATTTCATCTAAAATTGTCAAATGTTACTGGAATGCTTTAACACCTCGTTACATCTTAGACGTCACTCATGATTATCCTAAAGTTAACTCATTCACAAGAATATTTTACTGAGATAACGTAGAAAAATATTTGTAACAATGAATAAGCAAAGTGAATTGAAGAAAATTAAAATAATTTCACATCAAGCAAGCCGTAAAGATCGCGATCATTTGATAAGCTAAACGTTTAACTTGGTTTGTATACATACATGCTGATACATTCAATTGTAAGTGCTAGTTTTTACGCTATTTATTAATTTTTATGGAATTAATAAGCCACATATATTTATAATCTTTTATTTGGTCATCAATAGACATAGTTTGGTAAGTAGCTCTCATTACTCATAAGTCTATTAATAAATGTGATTCCCGCCACATATCAATATTATTTTTCTTCTTATCGCGGTTGATTTAATTTCATCACCAGTGTTTATTATCAACGCTCAATAATGTTTTGATAATTACAAATTATGATAAAAGTGCTGTTCTATATTTACAGATATTTTCTGGTGATATCTTGGGAGAGTTGTTGTGGTCGTTTGGGATGTATTGATTGTTTGGTGGGAATTTTTCAGGTAGAAGATTCATATAATTTTTTTGAATGAAATAGGGCTTAATGCGATGTTTTTCTGTTTTGACTTTTTATACAAAGGTTGTAGATTTTCATGCAGTATATATCTCTTGTTTTTAAGTAATACGGCCAGACTATAAAATATTCAAAATTTATTTACTTGCAAATTTTGATGAGTCTATTACCCATTTAGATCAGACTGGATTAGACAAAAAAAAACTTTGAAATCTCTCGAAAAACTAAAGAAAACTGTAAATTATTTTATTTTCTTTATAAGTCCAAGCAATTGGTAACAAAATTTAATTTATATTTATTGAATATTTATTGAATAGAGTTTGTATTTTAAGTATGATGAGATGAAGTTATAAAAGTATTAATTGAGTTAATGTTTTAAATATTTCAAATTCATTTGAATTCTCTAAAACATTAGATTTTACAATTTTTAAAAACTGAAATAATTTCCTAAACTAAAAAAAAGTCGCTTTGAATCCACAGCACCCAAAAACTTATTAAAAACCCTATTGATTACTCTAGAAATCACAAATTATTTATGCACAAGTAATTTTGTTCCACATAAAAATTTGTAGCGTCACTCGAGTTTTCACAACTGTATTTATTAATTACTTTTAATATACATCAGTAATTTGTTGGACGTGCTATGACGAAATAAATTTTCAGAAGATATTATGGTTGAAGAAATTTTGTTTCAAGAAGACAAGTTAAAAAAAATTTTGAAAAATTTTAAGAATTTTTGGAATTTTAAATGGCTTCTCAAGAATTTGAAGAGTATAACAAATTATTACAATATATATCAGCTCAAATGCTACCACAAAATTTTAAAAACGAAATCAAATTTTTTTAAAAAAAATCAAAATTCTCCCCAAAAGACCATCCCTCATTGTCATCTGCTGATCTCGTCACGAATTTTCCACAGAACCAAACACGTATTATCATTTATTAATCATGTCGATAAAATGAGTGATGATTGATAAATCACACGTCAATATTATTTTTTTCTTGCTTTTAAGATTGTTACGGAAATGAAATTTTATCACTTGACGTCAATTTCAATAGATTTTTTTTTCACTTTCCATAGAAAAAAGTGTGACTTAAGTCAACATAAGTAACTTAGTCATAGTACTGAAAAAACTTGGGTGTGAGAGACCTTATCCGAAAAGATCGGAAATTCATAGGAACAACCCACCTGCGATGATAACGATTATCATACTTAATAGAGCAATACGCAAATATTTCGAGTTAATTAAATAAGAGTGCACTTACGATCAGCTTGTTCCATAATTATGTCTTGTCTCGTCTTTCAGCTTTAATTAAGGTTGAAATTTCTTATTCCAAGAATAATTAATTAGAAACAAATTTTTTTTTCAATAATTATATTGTGGTTTCACTTCCAAAGAATTTGCTGATAAGACTGTAAAACAGCAATTCTCTAGATCAAATATCCATGACCACAGAAATTTTAAACAAAATGTTTTTTTTTTCTCTTTGTCAATTAATTAAATATTTTTTTAGTTCTCTTTTTATTTTTTTATCAGAAAAATTTATTGATTTGTGCCTTATCAATTTTTGCTTTTTTTTCTCAATATGTATCAATAGAATGATCAAATCATTAACTTATTTCTGTACAAACTTTTTTGTTATCATATCAGTAATTGATGAGTTTTTTCAATAATTCGACACTTTTTTCACTTTTTAACTCCTTTAATATTTTTAAGGCACAGAAAAAATTCACAAAAATTTAAAAAATCAAAATAATTCCTTAAAGTATAAATTAAATGTTAGACACAACGCGCGTTTATATTTTTTGAGATGTTGTCCCTCCAACAGCTTTGGGAGATGTGACACAATGAGAATATTCACATTATCGATACCTTCTTTTTTTTTCACGGGCAGAGCTTCACTTTTTCTTTCCTTCTTTCTTCTCTTCTCTGTTGCTCTGCTAACTCCCGAAAAAAGGCAAAACAACTTTTCTCATCTGCTTTAAGAGCTATACGAGTGGAAAATAAAATTATATTTTTTTCCCTGTATTACCTTTGAGAGGTACCGATGAAGTATGTAGTTGTAGAAGAACTGAGCATCAAAAGAAAATATAAATAAATAACATTTGGATATTTCCGAACAGAGCTTTCTTAGTGCTGCACGACGACAACTAAAACAAAATAAAAAAAATAGCGCGCGGTGAGAGAGAAATTTAACCCGTGAGAGAGAATCATACTATGTATGGAAGTACATAAGGTGTACACAAACAAAGATATTATTTTTCCTGCTTTATCTTCTTCTGTGCCTGTGTATTATTTTTATGGTTGTATTGTAATACCCAATGTTTATTATAATATTCATATTCGTCAACGGAAAAAAGATACGTGACTGATAACATCCGAAGACTAATACAAGTTTGTGTTTGTACAATTTCTTTCTCCTTTTGGTGGTGGAATTGATCTGATAGACGTGGAAAGCTCTGATGAGTTTTTTTCTTCTCCTTCATTTCATCGATTTGCTGAGGCATTGAATGAATTTCTTCCCCACCTTTGAAACATCGGGTTGAGAAAAATGTTTCGATTATCACTTTTGTGCCATCTTTTCATTTCTGAACTGGCCATCCAATAAATCGAAACATTTAACATTCGTTAATGTGAATAAACTTGAATGATTTATTGTCTTGTTTGCAATTTTTTGTGAAGTTTTGTCCAATTCAGTTCTGCCTGATAATTGAAAGTTTTTTTTTATATTGCACGAATTTTTTTATTTTTCTGTGTTGGTTTTTTGTTGTTTTGCAATTCAGATTTTTATTGGTTTCAGGTTTTTTAGCTTCCTTTTGTATTTGCTTATTAGAAAAAATTACTCGCTTATGAAATTTTTTATTGTTGTGGATTTGGAGACAAATACTTTTTCACGTTTAGTTTTTGAGTTTTTCTGTCGAGTTGTAGTTTATTACATAATTTTTAACATATCTGGGCTTGTTAGTTCAAATTTAAGTATTTTTGAAGGTTCTTGGAATTTTTATATTTTCATATTTTAGTTTTAATTTTCTTACTCTTGGCTAGGCCAACCATTCATTTGCTATTAGATACAAATTATGCTTTTCTACATTAGCTAGTCACAAGATCCATTCTTACATCAATAACTCAATAAAGCAATCAACTGAGTTGTTCAAACTCATCAGTCTCTCTCTATCTCTCTTTAAATCATTTTGAGCATTTGACAAAGTCAAATGCAACTTTGACTCGCCAATCTGTTTCCATAATTACATCGTCCTTATCCTTTAACGGCATTTCATTTCAGGTAAAGAAGAAAAGCTTGTTTGGTAGATCAATAGAGTAGTCATTAATTTAATTTTTTAATGATAAATGCTTAAAAATTTTAATTTTGCATCCCGAAGATTCTCATCCATCAGACGACCAAAAAGGGACTTTATAGCCAATTACATGAAAAAGAAAAGGAAAGAAAAGTAGTAGCAGACGATAAAAACTTACCTCGTCTTCAGCACATTAAGACTGAATATATGGATGGTACAACAATAACACAGCATAAAGCGCAATGTTATTTAAATTTTTTTGTATGGGATTGTTTAAGGAACAAAATTCAGGTAGTTCCTTTTTGTTTTAATGTCTTTAATGTTTGGCTATGTCAAACAATTACATAATTGTATGTAGTAAAGCCGTCCCATGCAAATATCATAAATTTGTGCTTCTTCTGTCTACTTCTTTTTTTTAATTTTGGGATTTCCATTTAGTCGGAAGGAATTTCGTCGCTTGTGATTTATTAGTTGTGTAAAGATTTCTTTTTTTTTCTTTTTGGTCCTTTTGGTCGGTCCTGTATAATTTTATTTACATCCCATCTGTTGAATGTTTGATGATTCAGTGTCCACGGTGCGGTGTTATGTTATTAGGATATAAGAAGGGATTTTTGATTTTTTAAAGAAACAATTAAGGAGCCATATTAAAAAATTAATTCAGCCTTTATCTTACAATAATTGATTAATCGTCTAACAGAAACATTGGTATGTGACGTTAAAGTTGATTTTCATAGATACTATAACATGCAATCGCTTTGGCATCACAATTACACCCATTGGACCATCAACCTTAAGAACTGAATAATAAAAGATAATGATATTACATATTTAATATAAAGAGTAGAGAATGAGAAAAAGTGAATACGATATCACTAATTTCTGTCTGATACATGATAAAGTAAGAAAAGAGATTAAACATATGCAAGATCATCAACAAAGAATTGAAAGAATTGCTTTCGACCATCGTAACCATCATAAACATTGTTTACGGTCTAATAGTAATGATTATTGTCCATGTATCATCAAAAATCGTGTTCAATTGTGTAAGCAGATGATGACGATTCTTTATGCAAATATAATATTGTGTGAGAAATGTTAAAATACCATCATAAATCATGCAATATCAACATAAATTCCTATAATGACAGTTTATGCGACAATGTCTTAATGTCCATCTGCGTTAATGGCCAATGCATAATATTTTAATTATCTGCCCAAAGATGTTACATTGCCATTGAAGTTAAAGAATTGAAATAAAATAAAGAGAAGCTAAATTTTTAAGTCAATTTATAAAATTGAGCTTCGAGCATCATTTTGATCACCTGATGACTCTTAAAAAAAGAAAGAAAAAAAATCGAGAGCAAACACCTTTTCGGAATGATACATAAATTTAACAATTCTAGCGCGCGGTCCACACATTTTATATATTTTTTTTTTCATTCTTCCCTTCTCTCCCGCTTCGTTCATTATTTCTTCTTTTTTTTTTCTTGAAATCATTCAATTGCGATCGAATATCATCTGCTCCTTAATTTGGTTCCTCTTCGACTGACTGATATTAAGAAGAATCATCTCCGGATTCTACATATATAAAAAAAAGACGAGAAAAAAAAATTGTGTAGATGACGGATTGAGTATATAATACGGAGAAGATTGGACAGATGTGGGATGCATGAACTTGCAATGTCTCAGTTAACGTTGTCATGGACACTACTATGAAGTTTTTTTTTTTGCAAAACTGTTAAAAAATTTGAATTTTATATTAACCGTTTAAAAACAAAAACTTTTAACTGTTACGCTTTGCTAATTGCAAACTTCTGAAGCTATTTGTTTATTGACTCGCATTTTGTAGTTAAAAAAAAATTATCAGTATTTGCTTTAGGTGCGTTAAAAATGCGCTTAAGTCCCTTGACAAAAACACGAGGACTTTTGAAATTTTTTATTCAAATATACATTTTTATCTTATTTTGTTTCTGTTCCTTCATAATCCATTCTACATCTTTCTCAACATTGGGAAGCTAATGAGAAGTAGAAAATCTAAAAGGAGACAAGTGTACGATCTATTGACCATTTAAAAGGCAAAATATGCTCTGGATCGATTTAAAAAAAAACTGAAAGAGACCCGCAGAGAACGATTAGAATCATCGGAAGCCTTCATTAAATTTGTAAATTTTTCATTTTATTATTTTTTTTTTTCGCTTTTAGTTTTAAAGGAATTTTTATGATGGTGCGACGCGTTGGCTGCTTTATTGAGGTCACAAGGCCACAACGAGCACAAAACAAAAATTCACCTGGTACGCGGTTTGGATGCTAATTGCTAAGACATCTAATTTTATGCATGCAAAAAATAAGTAAATATTTATTTTGTTCAATTTTATGTAAATTGTTAATTTTCAAGAGCATGAAGATCCAATAAAATTCACATGGTGTAGAAAAATAAGTGAAGTAAAATGTAAACCCTTTCATTCTCGATCTTAAAAATCAAGTTGAGTGTGGTGTGAGCTCAAATTATTTGCAAGTTCTCAACCATCGTAATATTTTTTTCTCTTTTTGTGATGTGTAAGTAAAAAGTAAGGTGTTTGAATCGGCAAAAAAGATAACAATAGCAAACAATGTTAAATATTAAATCCACACGAAATAAGGCGGCGATATCGAATTGAGAACTGAAACTTTTTTAAATTTAACAAATCATCAAAAATATGTATGTGATCACTTTTCATCGTATGTTCGTATGTTATTAAAAAAATGAAACTAGGTCTTGAAAATATTTGCACAATATATTAAATGATTGTATTTGGATTATTATTGGCACATAAACTTATTTTGATGAATAATGTCTTAGAAAACTAGTGTATCGGGTAGAAACCCAATGCGGATATATTCACACCGTACCATCAAAAGTCTTATGGATAGACCAAGATTTGCTCAGCATAAGTTTGAAGGGTGGGCATGAAGTACGGCCGAGACCCATATCGACACAGTTCAAAAGTTAAACCTAATTTTTGTTATAATTATGTCAGCTACAAAAACACTTAGTTTGAATTTTGTCACCCTCGGGAACACTATGAACCAGTATAGCTGATTTTGGTCGAAATCTCGGCCATACTTCACACTTATTTGAACCACATTTTCTCGTAAATGTTAAAATATTATTAAAAAGGAATTAATCCTGAATTATGTTGCTATTTTGTCAAGTGTTTTAAGATAAAAAATTTGTTTTTGGGTTTCCACAGTGAAGAGTATGAACAAAATTCAGATGGGGTAGTCGAAATTTTAGATTTCGATTTTTTTAAGCTATGCATTACAAAAAGTAATATTGGTATGTGATTTATGTCAGAATCATGTCAATTCATAACATCCAAAAAAATTTTTTGACCAAAGTACACCATAGAAAATCAATTTTCAATTTTGGACAAGGGGCGACCCTAGTCAAAATCAATTGTCACTTTTTTCTTCGAGGGTTTATCCAAATGGATTGAAACTTTTCGTAAATATTCTAATGCTTAAAACAAATACAAATAAAATATCCTAAAATTTTTTTGAGCAAAGAACCAAGTAGGAAATACATTTTCAATTTTGGACTAGGGGCGACCCTAGTCAAAATCAATTTTGTCACTTTTTTTTCGAGGGTTTATCCGAATGGATTGAAACTTTGCATAAATATTCTAGTGCTTAAAACAAATCCAAATAAAATATCCTAAATTTTTTTTTGAGCAAAGAACCAAGTAGGAAATACATTTTCAATTATGAACTTGGGACAGGTCTAGTCAAAATCTAGTTTTTCACTTTTTTTTCTTCGAGGATAAATCCAAATACAGTAAAACTTTGTATGAGCATTCTAATCTTC